CAATGAAGTCTTTTTAAATTATGTACATTTTTTTCTAGGTATAATGCAATTATATACTTAATAGACTATGGTTTAGTGTGAACATAACTTTATATGCCTTGGGAAACAAAAAATTAGTGTGATTCACTTTCTTGCAATATTTTCTTTATTGTGATGATCTAGAATTGAACCTGGAATATCTCCTAAGTATGCCTGTATTTATTTGCCGAGTAAATTGTTTAAGATTATCTTTTCCAGTGTGTTGTAAGCTCTGTGAGGTCAATAATCATACCTCTTTTGATCAGACCACCAATCCCCAATACTTAACTGAATTTTTAATATGTATTTATTAAATGATTAAGCATATTCTCTGCCACACCCCTCCTGGTAATTCAGAGTTAACATTAACATGTTAAAAATCTGAAATTTAAAAAAAAAATATGTTTTCCATTTTTTTTTATTAAGTCATAGCTGTGTACATTAATACTATCATGGGGTACAGTGTGTTGTTTCTATATACAGTTTGAAATACTTTCATGCATCTGGTTAATATAGCCTTCATGTCATTTTCGTAGTTATTGTGTTAAGACATTTATATTCTACATTTAGAAAGACTCACATGTACCCCCATAGGATAAACCATAGATGTGATCTCATCTTAATTGACCAAGGAGCTCCTCTCCCCCCATCATGCTAATTAATATCTCATTCTAGGAAATAGTGGCTTCCGTTCTGTGTGTTCTCTTCCAGCTGACTGACTAAAGCACCTTATTTTATGGGAAAATACATTGAAATGATCAAGGCCATATAAATTTCTGTTCAAACTTAAAGATTTGGAAAATGACTAAGGCCCAGTGAGCTCAAGGTGTTCTAACAGTAGCAAAGCTGTTATCACAAGAAACTGTGATTGTAGGAGTGAAGCCTAACCCCCAACTAGTGACATTCACTGCCTGCTTTTCTTTGCTATGATGTGAACCTGTGTTCTCACATTCACATGTAACTAAGCACTCAGTGCTCCTGCCTACCAATGAGCTGACTACAAAGTTTTCATGGGAGGAAAATATAAAAAAAAATAAAGCACAGGATTTTTTGAAATCTGTGCAATTAAAAAAAAAATTAAAGTTGTCATTCAACTAAATAAAATTTCATTCTTTAGTACCACTTTAGAACGATCACATTATTAAATTTGCCTTTATTAAATTTAGTAGAAAAAAGTTAAGACATCGTATTGTAATCAACCAGCATGAAAATAAATAGGGATGGAAAGTCTACAGGATTAAAAAAAAAAAATTGATGCATTGATTTTTACTGAAACAGGTAAGTCCTAATTACTCAGTCACAGGATACCCACACTGTCATGCTAACAGAAGGGACAGATGTATTGTGATGCTATTTCTTTCTTTTAAATTGGGAAAATCACATAGGATGAAATACATAATGTCCACAGAGTTCCAGATCAGTGCCAAGGCTGTGGTCAATTTGGAGCACCCTTTATCTCTTGAAATAATCACAGTGCTCTGGAGGATATTTACAAGTCTTTGAATTACCTCTTGTAGTCTCCCTTACTAAAGCCTGAAAAATGGCAAGTATTATTGGCCCCTTCTGGAGTTGGGCATCTCCCACAATATCTTTCTTCACTAATTTAGGTTTGTATGCTCTGGAAGTTTTCCTACTTTGGTTTAGTCTTTTGATATTTTAAAATGTGTAGTCTATCCTCACTTCAGACTCTATCTGTGAATTCATCCACATGCTAAATTTATTTCAAGTAAATGTTCACAGTGCTTTCACAGTCATTCATGAACAGGTAGAGACTGGCAAAATTTTGAGTTACCTGGTGCTCATGTACCGAGCTGAGGTGGAACAGAGGGACTGACACCCTCACTTTTTGTTTCAATTCTCCCACTGTAAGAAAGTGCCCTTCCTGTGGTATATTTAATGCCATTTTTGTGCTGCTTGTTGGTGATTTCACTGTTAAAAATAGACCCCAAACAGTGCACTGAAGTACTTTCTAGTGTTGTGATATGATTTACAGAGAAAATACATATGATAAGATTTTCTCAGGCATTAATTTGTTTCAAAATTAATGAGTGAATATTATGTAGTAAACATAATATATAAAATATTGTATAGTATACCTGGATGGAGTTGAAACTCATTCTTCTTAGGATACTTTGTAAAGTATCACAAGAATGAAAAAGCCAGTATCCAATGTCCTTAATACTAATACAAAAACATTAGAAAAACAACTACCCACTCACACAAGAGAAAAACACAAGTATTTTCTAGTAGGGGAGGAGGAAGAAGGAAAAGGGAAAGGGAGGTGGGCAGGAAACTGGTGAGCTCTACAGCACCCCCAGTGGAGGAGAGCTTAACTACAACTTGAACTTCACCTTAGAAATACAATGTTAACTCAATCACTTAAACCCTCATATAAATCTGAAATAAAAAATTTAAAAAGTCTTTAAGTGGAAACATAAAACAAAGTCTATATTGATTTGTTAACAAAGTGTTGTAACCAGAGGCTCACAGGAACTTAACCTTGTGTTTCTTAACAGTTCAGTTTTTACTAATTCCATATTTGTGGCAACCTTATAAAACACAACTCCGGCAAATAACAAAAATTGCCTCTAAAGACACCATTGTATTTAACTTTCTTAATTACCTGTTTGGTGTCAGATAGTCTGATTATTCAGCCTCAATTTAAGATTGGGAAATTAATGAAAGACATTGAATACCAAATTTTCAACTGATGGGAACTTTCATGATGATGGCATAATGGTTTATAATGGAGTCCCAATAAACCCTCACTCTCCTGGGCAAAAGATATCAATAAAACCTTACTAGTGCTGACCAGAATCCAGAATCATTATTTTTTGACCTGAAGTACAATGTCTTCCTGGGTGGAAAGAAATAAGAGTAGAAATTTGAATAATTTTAACTTACCAGGTTTTTGAAAATGTTCATAAGGTGTACAATTATGTATAACTCAAATTAGGTTTATCAGAAATGGTGTGCTGGTAAGTTTAAGTCACGATTAATAATAATCTATAAGATTCCCCAACTATCTCTCTTAGTAAGTTCTCACATAAAAGGTTAATTTATTCCAATAAATTAATTTGTTAAGCACAGAAAGGGCATATTGAGATACTACTGTAAAATAACTTTTCAAATAATAAGTAAAACTATGACACAGAGAGTTTTGACCTTTCACTGTTGGCTTCATTCTTTTATGGTAAATGTAAAAATTACTTCAAGGAAATCTTATTTCTTTCATGTATAATCATAATTTTTTTAACAGAAAGTGCTATTTGATGAGTTCTTTTCCTCTGAGATTCAAGTTATTTCAGAAGCTTGTTTTTCCAAGAATAATAAATCAGCAATCATTTATGTTTTCGTGACCATCTTCTTAAAAGAGCTTAGGTAACTTGCCAAAAGATATTTGGATTTTCAGACAAAGTCCTGGGTTACTATGTTATTTATGAGAAAAGGTTAGTTTATCTTTCACAGAATATTATTCTTAATGATTGTATAGTTTGGAAGTTCTCACGGGACGTATCCGCAACGCTATGGTAGGTTATTAATTTAGGCAACATTTTATTAATGCTTCAGCTATATAATGTTATTATAAGTAATTTGTGTCAGCACTGAGATGGTTTCTAGCTATGTTCTCTAACCTTGATGGTAACTGTAGATGATAAATATGATTCTCATTTACAGATGAAGGCACTGAGGTTCAGAAAGCCTAACTGTTGCTCAGGAGTTATAGAAAATGAATACAGGTTGTGAAAGAAAAATAATCAAGCATAGGTCTAGAAAAATCTCCAAACTCCTTTTTTGCCACTTTCTAAACTATGAATAAAATCATAAGCTAATATTTACTTTTTAAAAAATGTATGACTTATAATGACAAACCTGTCATAAACTGGATCATTTCTAATCGATTGATCATGGACTGAGGCTGAAGGAAGCAATAGAAATGCTCATCAGCCATTCTTATTTAGGTAAAAAACTGTCACAAGTGGCTTATTATTCCAGTATTTTCTACCCAAATACTTTATACCATGAGGTCCTGATGCAACCAGCTGAACATTTGTCTAGGGACTTCCTGAAGCTCTTTCAAACCTGATGGCTGCTCTTAAGTGGGATTCATATACCTCTGACGGTTGAAACTCAAGTGCACTTTAGAGATAGCATCTCAAAAGGAATGGAAGTAAGTTGTAAGTGATTGTGATCAAGGAGTTTGTCTTTCTCAGCAGAAATAAACAGTGTTTCCTTGTAAACCACAGCCTCTCCACCTTTCATCACTTCGGAATTCTTAAAGTACGAATTGCATCTTTCTCCCCCTTCTTCCTTTCCACTTGATACAATAGCTTGATTATTTAAGTTAAGATATAGCTTATATACCAGAAATTCATCCCTCAAAAGTATACAATTCAGTGGTTTTAATTTATTCATAAGGTGGTACCACCATCTCCACCATCTAATTCCAGAATATTCTCATCACCCAGGGAAACCCTCTACCCATTAGCAATCCTACCCCAGTGCCTGGCAAATGCTGGCCTACTTTCTCTTGCCTATTTGCCTATTCTGGATATTTCAGATAAATGGGACCATATCAGATATTTTCTTTTGTGTCTGGTTTCTTTCTCTTAGCACCATGTTGCCGTGGTCCGACCACATCACATCAAGTGCCATTTCTTCTTATGGCTGGACAGTGTTCTGTGATTTGGAGATTCCACACTTATTTATTCATTTGTCAGTACATAGACACTTAGGTTATTTCCACATGTGGCTATTCTGAATAACACTGCTAGGAACAAATTCTTTGCACAGGCATGGGTTTGCCTTTCTCTTGTGGAGATATTTTAGGTCTCTTTTCATTTTTCATTGCTCTTTTTGGTTTCCCCAGCTTTAGGAATGCCCAGAACAGTCAGGAACTCCTTACAACCCCGAGAGAGCTGGACAAGCACTTGCTGCTGCCGCTTCCTAAACCTCAACTCCATTTGCCTGTCTTTCCCCAGAGCCACCCATTGGACAGATGCATCCCCCACATGGCAGCGTCACCCCTCAGAAGAACAGCAACCTGCTTGTGATCATTGTGGTCACTGTTGGTGTCATCACAGTGCTGGCAGTGGTGATCGTGGCTGTGATTTGCACCCGACGCTCTTCAGCCCAGCAGAGAAAGTAGGTAACACCTGGCTCCCCAGGGGAAAGTATTCCCCATCTTTTGGGGTTACATTTTTGAGAGTTCGCTTCCTGTGTTCTTTCAAAACTCACCACATTTCCTTATCTCCTGACTCCAGCAAAACCTTACCTTTTGTCCACTCTGGATTTATCATTAAATGAGTGAGCTAAGCTTACAGATTTAATAACAAATGAAATCCACATGGAGCTCACTTGCATTTCTGTTGACTTTTACTTCTCCAGATCACTTCTTATTTTCAAGCGAGGGCAGCTATTTCTTAAGTAACACTTGGAGAAGGGACTCTACCACACCCTTGCTTATAATCCTCTCTGCTATCTCGTACACCTCATAAAGGTGGACTCACACAGTAGTATTTTTCTTCCTGTTACTGGCTCATTTCACTTAACATTGCGTCCTCAAGGTTCATCCATGTTGTAACGTATGACAGGATTTCCTTCTTTTTTAATGCTGGATAATATCCCATTGTATGTCTACGCCATGTTTTATTTCTCCATTCATCCTTCAATGGATATTTAGGCTGTTTCCACCTCCTGGTTATTGTAAGTGATGCTGCAATGAACGTGGATAGGCAAATATCTCTTTGACATACTGTTTGAATCCTTTTGAATATATACATTTCAAGTGGGACTGCTGGATCACATGGCAGTTCTATTTCTGATTTTTTAAGGAAATTCCATACTGTTTTCCATAGCAGCCATACTATTTTATATTTCCTATGAATAGCATCTAAAATATCTCACTGTCCAAATGTTAGTTGCCAGTATCTAGAAATAAAATTGATTTTTATACCAACCTTTCTGATACTTGCTCAATTCAGTTATTATTTTTTAAACTTTTTAGATTATTTTGGATTATCTATGTATACAATCATGACATCTGTGAATGAAGATGGTTTTACTTGTTCATTTCCAAAATTTACATATATTATTTCTTTTTCTTGCTGTATTAAAATGGTGAGGACCTCAAGACAATATTAAACAAAAGTGGTTATATATACTGTACATTTTTATCCTTTTTCTATGTTTAAGAAAGATTCCTTCCCGATAAGCCTTGTTGCAAAGCAGAGCCTGCCTTCTACTTTCTAGAAGCGGAAATGCCAGATGCTTACACTCCCAGTCTTCTTTGAACCTGAGGTATCAACTCAGTCAATATCCCCATGGGAAACACCAGGCACACTCAGATGAGATTCTGGAGAGAAGTTAATGAAGGGCTATCTATAGAGATGTGGGCAAGGTTAAGGGAACTGATAACAGATGCCAAGGCATTTAGAGATTAGCAACAGTAGGAATCTGTTTCCATGCCCCAGGCGTGGAAAGGGCAAGGGGAAGACACAGTGTAACTGGATCCTGGTGAGTTTGGAGCTCTCAGAGAGGACCGCCCAGGGGACCTGAAGTCTTGAAGGGATGCAGGTACTGCCTGAATTGCCACACTAGTGTGAGAAGAAAGCAAGAACAAGTAGAAATACTCTGGCTTCTCTCTCCTCTCACCCTCCAGTTTTCTACCGGTACCTTTCATTGGTCCAACCAAATCGAAACCAGAGGGTGAGGCAGCCTAAGTGGAACCATCCATCGGGATAGGGCCCTGGGACACCAGAAGGCTAGAAAGGGTGGGACAGGAAGGGTTGAGATGCATATGAAAGTAACTGGTGTAGGCAAGAGCACGGGACCTGGGCTTGGCCAATCCAATGCACCTTCCCCTCCAAGAAGCTAGTGATACAAAGAAGAAGCAGTAGGGAAAACTTGTCCAGGTCATAGCAATAGGGACAACACTGAGTCCAGGATCAGAGTTGGCAGTGTCACAGGGACAAGGGAGGCATCTGGTGTGGCAATGCTATGAGCTACCCAAGATCTCTTCAACAACTTCCTCTTCCATTTAAATTAGCCAGAGTTAAAGTAGCTTGGGCACAGACAAGAACTTGACTGAGTGTGCCCCAATAGTGGACATTGTGTGTCAATGCTGAAAATATTTTAACAGCATCACAGTCTACCCTGGCCTAGGTCTGTGATTAGTCAGTGGGTGCTACTGCCTGCACTTGGCAATTTTTAGAGACATTGAGCAAAACAGTCTAATTGTAGTTTCCATAGTTACCAGCCACTACTGTGGGGAATGTGAGCAGATCTTAAAGGGAAAAGTCAGGCATGGGCATGGGTCAGAGAGGTGGGGGGGAGGCTGGGCCCAGATAGGGTCTGGGCTGGAGAAGGTGGCCACTGCCCTGCATGGCTAAAGCTCTAGTTGTCCTCTCTACTCCAGGGGCAGAGGTACAAAGGCCCCAGCAATGGCTCATCACTGCAGGCCTTCAGCACACTTGCCAGGGTGGATTACCATTCAGGGATTCCTCTCGCTGGCCTTGTCCCAGTGCCTGCTCCAAAATTTTCACCCTCATTCTCCTTCCACACAACCATGTGAGTCTGGGCCCCCACCCACAACAAAGCAGCAGGTATGGGAAAGATGGCAGGAAGGCTTCTGTACCAGTTCCCCAGCATTTGCTCAGCTCAGGGCTCAGATGCCCCCAGGCAAGCCTCTGTTTCTCTGTCATCTGTTGGGCTCACTCTGTAGGCCAGCCAGCTGCCCTATGTGGCAATTTATTTTCTCTTTCCTTTACTCAACACACTTTTTGCTAGAGTCCACATAGTGCAGCAGAGTCCAACCAGGCACCATCCCTGCCTTCCCTGACCTTACACCCTGATGAAAGAGACAGCTCTTGAAAGGAGGGAGTGTGATGAGAGTGAACACGGTCAGTCATGCCCTTTAGTACTTGAAGGAAAGTAAAGGCACAAACCTCCACAAGGAGGAGCCCCGGCTTGGCATCTGCAGAGAGCGCCACACAGCCAGGGGCCCCAAATGCTTGTCAACTGAGTGACATGGAGCCACAGAAATCAAAGCTTCTTAAGTCTTCAGAACCTTAAGTGACCCAGAACCTCCCAGAGTACCCCTTCACGTCGACTTGTTTGGGGGCATGGTTGGGGTTTCCACCTGCCATGTCAGGACAGAGTCATCCTCCTATTACCAAGCAAAAGGGGTGTGCCAATACCTACACCCCAGGGCCCAGCCTGGGACTCAGCCACTAGACAACGCTGTGGCTGTTCAATGGGGGAAAAGATGGTCTTTTAAAAAAATGCTACTGGAATAATTGAAACCCAAAAAGGAAAAAAATGAGCTTTGTCCTCTACTTACACTATCTATAGAAATTGATTTTGGGGGATTATAGACATAGGTGAAAGACAATACAACAAATATCTAGAAGAAAACGGAAAGAGTATCTTCACAACCTTGGGGGTATGCAAGAAGTTCTCAAATGGAATACAGAAATATTAAATATAAATGGAGAGAGTGATACATTGAACTCCATTATAGTAAGAGCTTTTTCATAAAAAGGCATAATTTAGAAAGTAAACAGTCAAGCCATCAACTAGAAGATATTATATTAATAATGTATCTGATTAAGGACCTACACTAATCTAATCAACAACCATTAATCTAATCAGCTGCACTAATCTAATCAACTACACTAATCAAATCAACTACACTAATCTAGTCAGCTATACTAATCTAGTCAAGGACACTAATCAATCACACTAATCTAATCAAGGACACTAGTTTAATCAACTACACTATTCAAGGTCACTAATTTAATCAACTATACTAATCTAATCAAGGGCACTAATCTAATCAACTATACTAAACTAATCAACTACACTAATCTAATCAAGGATACTAATCTAATCAACCACACTAATCTAATCAAGTTCACTAATCTAATCAAGGACACTAATCTAATCAACCACACTAATCAAGTTCACTAATCTAATCAACTATACCAATCTAATCAAGCTCACTAATCTAATAAACTATACTAATCTGATCAAGTTCACTAATCTGATCAAGGACACTAATCTATTCAAGCTCACTAATCTAATCAACCATACTAATCTAATCAACTATACTAATCTAATCAAGGACACTAATCTAATCAACTATACTAAACTAATCAACTACACTAATCTAATCAAGGACACTAATCTAATCAAGTTCACTAATCTAATCAAGGACACTAATCTAATCAAGTTCACTAATCTAATCAAGGACACTA